GTTCCGCGGGTGGACCGGGGGCTCCGGGGCGGCGGGCGGCGGCGGCGGGTGCCAGGGGTATGCGACCGGGTTGGCGGGCGGCGGCGGCGGCGGCGGGGCGCGCGCGCGCGCGCGCGGCGGAGGCGGCGGCGAGGGGCGCGGGCGCTCGGGCAGGCAGGCGGCGGCGTGGGCCAGGGCGTGGGCGACCGGGATGGTGACCGAGCCCAGGGGGCGGTCGCCCGCGACGAGGTTCTTGTCGAAGATGCGCAGGTGCAGGACGTCGTGCGGGCGGGCGACGAAGGCGAGCGGGTGGTACCACTTGGGGTCGACGGTGTTGAGACACACGACGGTGGTCTTGGTCTCGCCCGTGCGCGCGAGCGTGACGACGGCGTACGGATCCGACGCGCCCTTGCCGACGTTGGCCGCGCGGAGCGACGTCGCGGACATGATGCGGACTTGGATGCGCGATTCGGAGGGCATCGCGGGGGAGGGCGGGGGGGAGGCAAGGTGGAGGGGGGCAGGGCCGATGGTGGGGGAGTGGCGATGGGGAGGAGTAGAGGGTGTGTGAGGGCGAGGAGAGTGCGGGGATGCAGCAGCCTCTGTTTTGTGGCGGCGAACAGGGTGCCGGCAGCAAGTGGGGCGCCCTTTTTGGTCCTTTGTGAGATGCGCGTGTACAGTTGGTAGCCGGGTAGCCGGTCGAGGACGTACAAATCGGTGCGCTGTCACAAAGCGGATCGGGCCAACTGCAGCAACGCATCACGAGAAGGGCGGTCCCCACGTGCCCGCGTGCGCGCGAGCTCCGTCGCGAGCCCCGCCCAGCCAGTTCCACTCTCCGGGCCTTGCGGGGCGGCGCGCCAACCAGCGGCGGCGGCGGCGCGCGCCGGTATCGCTGAGCGGACTGAGCGCGGCCACCGCTCGCCGCGGGACTCGCGTCCGGTGTCGCATATCGCTACCGCATACAAGTATAAAGTTACTGTGCATACCGCCACGCCTCCACTCGCCTCCCGGCAAGGCGGCACTCCCTCTTTCCACATCTGGCGCGCCGCCCCCCCCGCGCGCACGCGGCTGTACCCTTCGAGTGTACGAGTGGTACACAAAGCGTTTCTGTCAGGCGAGCCCCGCCCATGTAACATTACTGGGCAACGCCGCCGAGACGCAGACGCGCCGCTCGCGCGAGCGTGGCAGCGCGCCAGAGCCGCGCCGTAGCGGAAACAGCCAACCGCGCGCGCGCTCCACCCGAGCCGCTGCCGGCACAATTCACTTTGTCATGTATGACAGGGGAAGGATGCTAAGGATACTGGATTACAGTCGGCACTCAGGTGCATTACAGTATTTAGGTAGGCAGTGTCTTACAGCGCGGACACCACTATCCAGTCCAAGCGTGATACCTGGACGTTCTCTGAGATAGCATTCGCTCAAAAGGACATTGATAAGGAAATCCAAGGTACGCGGCGACTGCCGATCTGTGACCTCGCGCCCTCCGGATTGTCGGAATAATATTAAGAATAATAATGGGCAACGACTCTTGACCACCATATGCTACGTAGCATATAATTATAGCACAGTCACGGGCCTGAGGCCCGTTCTTAAGTCCGGGATGATTCTTTCCCGAATCTCCCTATCGCACCACTCGTAACTTCTACCTTATTCATTGGACAGTTCGAGGTTAATCTTTGACATTAAACTTTATCTCCTGACTGTAAGTAGCTAAGAGTCTCAACAAGTGCAGGTGAGCTACTGGTTATTATTCTGGTTGCACAACAATGTACACTGTACAGTACTACCATTTACAGTGCTTTTCTTGAAAAATGCAATTTAAAGGCCTGGGAGATACGCACTGCTGGAAGTCAAGAGAAGAAAATTTTGTGATGGACTGCGAGTGAGGAACGGCCCTCAAGAGTCGTTCTCTACTGCGCTCGCCCCTCGGTGGCCTGCCGAGGTTCCGGCGCTGGCGGCCCCTGCCGCTGTGTACTCCGCCCCTCCATCGTGAAAGTTTCACGGTCTCGGCGTTAGCCGGGATCGGATCTACGAACAAGGGTGAGCGCGGTCTAGTCGCGGTCTGGTAGGCCCGAGTAAACTCACCTTTCTCTAACTCTCTTTGTGTCTCTCGGGACTCCATATAGTCCCGAGAGACACAAAGAGAGTTCCGTAACTTCACCTCTCTCTAGCTCTCTTTGTGTCTCTCGGGACTACGGGACATGGACACACTTCGCCGCCCGCGCCTCGCTGTACCTTAAGGTACTGTACGCGCACCCCCGCGTTGCCCAACCAACCGCTGTGTGAACGACCCCTCTCTTGCAGGCGCACGCACGCCCCTCTCAGGTGCCGCGCGTGCCAGAGAGCCGCTCCGCCACGCCCGTCGCGTCACTCTCGTCCCCGCCGGCGCGCCTCGGTGATGCGTTGCCCGAATATCAATCCAGAATCAGCGACGCTTTCGACTCGCAACGGCAACTCAGGCCGCCCAACCACAAACTGGACACCTTGATCGCAGCAGCATCATAGTCGACATCTCTCACCTTCCCATCGTCTTGGTCTCGGGTATGCCCCTTAAGCTGGCCAAGAGGGCCATATCATCCGTTATTCTTAGTCCTGTCCTCGTATCTCCTTCACTGCGCCTTCGCTGTCATCACATCTCCACGCCACACTCCATGCAGTCCACTCCAAATCCAGCCTTCTCTGCACAGGATTCGTTTCTATATCTCCACAGCAGATTTTCCAATCTCAACTTCAGGGGGTTCGAAAATAAAGCGTTTTAAGACCTTGTCTTTGCTGACCTGCGGGTAGTGATGTGCTGGTGCGCTACTCTACGTACGTTTCCATTCTAGTTGCGGTTTCTGTATAGGTGCCGGGCTGATCTCAGATGCGAAGATGTTTCTGTGTGCAGTAGTGTATGCTGTATGCCGTCTTAGTGCGTGAGAATCAAATAGGTGCACGTTGTGTGAGAGCTGGACGGAGCAATTGCTTACGGTATAGCAAAAAGTCACCGGTCTTATCCAACTCTTTTGATCCAGCGGTGTACACAAATATGGTGTTCTATGAGCTGATGCTCAAGTACTACCTTCGGAAGGTAAACTTTACATGATTGCCGGATGCCAAACAAAACGTCATGGTTGGACCCACTATTGTCCCTCTAAATCTCACGTGGTGTGCAGTACAATATTCAGTCTTATGATCGACCGAGAATTTCACCGTAGGTTGGTCCTCGTCGTGCACTTGACCTGGAATGCCACCATGTCACGTGACTTTCACAAACCGCCCCACTTATAAAACTATGCCTCCTGCACTTAGTTTCTCTCTCAAGTTGAGGAGAAGAAACTTGAGAGATTGCAATTGTGTCGTTTTCAGCATCCCTAAGGGTTACACTTCCAGTCGCCCTTCGAAGAACAGTCAAACCGTCGAGCATGTGTCGCACGCCTTCAATCTTTCCATCCACAGCAAAGGCGCTATCAACACTGTGCACGTTACGTTTCCACACGACTCCAGCTCAATCAAAGAATTCCTCATCAAATGCATGCGACTTCCGTTTCTGTTCTCGCCCTCTCGTGTTCCACAAGTATCCCGATGCTCACATCCCGTTACTGCTCTGTAGACAGTTTGCGCAAACCAGCTGATTCACGCCCTTGCCGTGATACAAGATATACCTTTCTGTTGTGCACAACAATACTAACTGCACCGCGTAGACACGAGGTGGCGCGGAGAGACGAGGTGACGCAGAGGGATGATGGGTTGGGGGAACGGAAGCGGGAAGACGTTTCAAGGGCGAAAAGCTTAGTTGTTGAGGATTTCTTGCGGAATGTGTAAGAGGAATATGTTTACCGAGAGGAGAAATAAAAAGGGTTCTAGCTAAGACCCGTGCGCGTTTGAACTCGTTCGAAAGGGAGATGAACATAGACGAGACGAGGTTGGTGAGGAGAGGAAGAACAATAGAAATACAATAGAAATACAATAAAAAGGCAATAGAAAGAAAGCAGAAAGAGAACAGAAAGAAAGCAGAAAGAAGTAGGAAGAAAGTAGGAAGAAAGTAGGAAGAAAGTTGGAAGAAAGTTGGAAGAAAGTAAAAAAAAGGAAGTAACTAAGTAACTAGGAAGTAACTAGGTAAGCTACGAATTGCTTCGGGCCACCTTGGTTAGGTGCCGGTGGGAATCGAACCCAGGGCCTCGCAGGCGCAAAGTGGCAACTTCACCTCCAGTAACTGGTTAACCACTCTGCCACGAACTCCCCTCTCCCAAACAGCGGACTCTGCGGCGACAGAGTGTGGACAGCAACAGTATTTATAGGTATGCATTTGTCCTCGCAATCAACATTAGGTATATAATTTGAAAGTGTGAGCGATGATCGCTCACCGCACCATGGTGCACTTTGTTTTTAAACATTAAAGGTCGAGAAAAAGGTTACAGTACTGCAGGTAGTAATTTACCTTCAGCTTTGCACGCGCACAGTACCGGTACAGTAAATTTTACATGGCTGTGATTCCGCAATCTCAACCGCGCCAGGAGCTCGAGATCCGGAAGTGAAACGTGTCCACGTCGACAACACGCGCCCTGGATACGTGCACTTACGACATACTGTATATATTTTTTGCCGACATTTTGCCCCTTTGCATTGTTTGCCACGAATTCCCATTCTCTGTAATCTCCCACCATCCCTGCCGTCCCTGCCGTCCCTGCCATCTCCATTTTTTCCGCGATCCGTCCGGCGATCCGACTTCTGGGGTAGCTCCGCCCTCTCCGCCCTCTTTCCTCGGGATCAACATGGTGAGGTAGGGCGGAGAGGAGAAGTGGTGCGGAGAGGAGAAGTGGTGCGGAGAGGAGAAATGGTGCGGGGAGGAGAAGTGGTGCGGAGAGGAGAAGTGGTGCGGAGAGGAGAAGTGGTGCGGAGAGCGGAGAGCAGAGGTGGCGGGGAGGGCAGAGGCGGTGCGTAGACACGAGGTGGGTCGGAGGGCAGAGAGCGTGCTCGTTTCCTATCTGGGTCAGTCGCTGATAGAATCGGCCCAAACCGTGCCCGTGCAATATCTTCCCATATGGCCTCACCTCACCTCCTTGCCGCTATCTGTCACGCATGAGCACGCTGCGCCCTTTGCGCAATTGCCGTTTGCGCCGCGCTCGCGGCTGTGCTCACCGTGATGGGGAGCAAGCCGCAGCCGGCGACTCGCAGGGTCTCTTTGTGCTCATCGAGTGCCACTCTGACCATCTGCACTGGCGCACCACATCAGAATCTCCTCGCGGAAACACGCAACCGCCTGCGTCAGAATGGATCACGCATTGCTGCCCCAATCGCTCGCGCCCATCATGGACGCCACCTCCATTCTGCCCACCTGCAATCCAATACCGAACTCATCGCTATACTACTAGGCGCCGTCCTTGCCTCTCGAGTCATCCTTTCATCCCTTCCCATCCCTTCCCATTGCCTTCCACACCCCCCCACCATGTCCACCCCGGCCTCGGGCATGCACGCCGCCACCTCCCTGCGCTTGGCCCTGCGCGCACCCTCATCCGACCGCGCCATAGCGGACTGGCTCTTCTCGCCCTCCCGTTCTTCCCCCACGCTCTCTCCGCCTGAGCTGCGCTCCTCGCTGGCCCTGAAAGTCGCCCACACCATTCAGCTGTCCAACACCGCCTTCCCTGCATCCGCCGCCGCGATTCACTCCTGCGACAAGCTCTTCGTCCCGGTTTCCTCGCGCGGTGCCTACATTCTGGGCTTCACCACGGAGGGCACCCAGGGTGCCGCCGATGACCCGCGCCTCCCGATCCCCGCTGCGTTCAAGAGGCCCTCTGTCGCTCGCTTTGTCTTCGACACTGTGGCAGAGGAACTGCTGCTCGTGTGCTCTCCGCCAGGCATTCCGCTCATGGGCATCATCGCTATTCGCAAACTCTCCAACCAAGCACAAGCCTGCTTCCGCTTCACCGTTCCCGCACACGACTACTCGTTCGATGCCCTTCCAAGCCTCGTCCTTTCGCTGTATAGCAATATCGAATCTGCTGTCGAGCACCGCCCTCCTCGAAACCCTCAACACTCACGCGATCCCGCGTGTGTTCCGGTGCCTGAGTCCTTCCTAGGGGACATACCCAGCATTGCGGAAGACTCCTTCGCCTACCCCGATGCGTCCATTCCGCATCTCGACCCGACCCCCGCTTTATCCATGGACGCTGTCGACTCTTTCTTGGACAGTCTGCGCGCAGCCCGTGTCAACGGCGAATCGCACGCACGCAGTCCGCACAGCTACGTGCATCTCCCACCGCTTTCGGTTAAGCTCGTCTCCGACATGCCGCGGCTCGATTCCTCTGCGGAATCGACCACACCCGAACCGCACCAAGCCTTCTCGCCACTATCCGTGTCCCATTCGTCCGCGGCACCGTTTGCGCAATCACGGTTTGCCGGGCCGCTTGCTGCTTTGCTCATCTCGAGGGCTGGCGCATTTCGAGGTCCCTTCCTTCGCATTGACACGCTGCAACCCGTCACTGCCACGTACGAAACCAACTTTACGGGGGCTATTGACGCCTGCGTCACGCAGCTGCGGGGCCAGCCAGTCAGCGACATTGAGCGCACGTTTGCTGATATGTACTACTTGGAGGTGCTTTCGGTCGCCCCGGATCAGCACTTCATCCATATTGACGGGTTGGATTCCACTACATTTGCGCCACCGCATGCCGCGATGCGTAGGGAAAACGAAGATCTGCATGGAGATGATGAAAACCAATTTGGTGTCATCCACGAGGCTGGAAGGAAAACCACGTACACAACCATATTACCAACAGACCCAACACGGAAGCCGTTGGCCGTTACAGGCGTACTTGGTTCTGTCGGGTCCAGCACATTCCCACGAATTGCTCCGGCCCAACTGGCACCGAGATTCCCACCCCCGGCGACACACCCTGACAAAATGCCTGTTGCGACTGTTGTGTCTAAAGAGCTGCAGCAAAAACGAACGTTACAAGCGCGAAAACACCGCAACCGACTGAGCGCGGCGCGATGCAACTTGCGCCGCCGAGAGTGGCTGGAAGAGGTGCCGCGTGAAATTGAACGCAACCGAAAAAGAGCCGAAGAGCTTCTGAGTCGCAAAAGGGAAGTGAAACGTGAGAACGATAGACTGAAGAGCTTGGTTGCCAAAACTATGGTGTAGATGATAAGATGTTTGGCCTTGTCATTGTTTTGGCCTCAGTATATACCTTAACTCGGTCAAGAGGGCGATATCAACCGTTATTCTTAGTCCTGTCCTCGTATCCCCCTTCACTGCGCCTTCGCTGTCATCAAATCTGCAGGCCACAGTCCATGCAGCGCAAGCAAATCCTGCCTTCTCTGGACAGTATTCGTCACCCTTGGTAAACTTCCGCTGCTGCAATTCACCTTCTCCATAAACCCATATCGAGATAAAACCGCACCCCAAAACGCACGCGGGAAGTACCCCGGCTTCACTCGAATTCATTTTGTCTTTATAAATCAACTATTGATTCTACGGAGGAGTCCTATCACTAAAGAACGAGGCTCCATACTATCTGTGCAGCGGAAAGACCAAAGCATCCTCGCGCTACCACACCAAAAGAGCTTGACACTTAGCCCCTCCATCTCGCTGTGGCCATCCTGCAAAGACGTTCAGCATAAAGATCACTGTGGGTTCGGGGCAGTGTATCTCCCTGTCTATCCGTCTCCGCAGAGTGGTCCGGCACCAGCACGACCAGTTTGTCACCACCGCGGTAAAACAAGATCGTTGGTCTCGAGGGGGGGACACCATCCCACGCCAACACCGAATCCGTCGTGCCCTCCTTCCCGCTGCCCGAGCGTTGCTTCAGTGATTCGGAGTGTTGAATCAAACGCTGTTCCCGTCCTGACGACCATGTGCAAGAGGAATGCCCGCCGCCGCTTGTTCCATCCCGCATTAACCGAGTGTCGGACTCTTTGGTTGAATCCGCGTTTGAAGGTTGCCCTGCCACAGACCATCTCTGGTTGGCGGAATCTGAGCCTCCAAATGAAGACTCGGCCTCCTGGTCCGGTGCCTGGGCCTTTGCGTCGGGGCGGCGGAAACAGTTGAGAAATGAGCGATGAGCGGCGGCTTCCGTTTTGAAAGCCAAGTTCTTGAGCTTTCGACAGAGCCCGGCGATTGTGAACATTTTGGTAAGGGAGAGTTGAGTTGATTGAGTAGAAAAGGGGATGTTCCGGGAGGAGGGAGCTTGGAACGGATGGGAGGGGGAATGGGGATGTGTGTGCTCCTGACCATCCGACTACCGTGGACCTCAGGCTTGATTTTATACTAGCGAGACATTCCAGGAACAATGTATCTACTGTCGGCATTTCTCTATTCGATGAATGTGGAATTATTCGAAAGGTGACGCAATGCTGTGACTTGCAGCCAGTTCTAATTGAATGGGGATCGACGTGCGAGATGAAGCGGTGTTGTTCGCTGTTCAATCATTGTCGTTGTGACCAAATCTGCGAGAGAGCTTTATAACTTGCTTTGCAAAACCGAGACGGTATACGTTTTAATACAGTATCTAGCATTCGCGGTTGTACGTATTGTCGAAAGCAGTAAAAGCTTTACGCTTGTTTCTTTCTCGCCGGTGCTTAGGTCAAGCACAGTAGTAACAAGTCAGCAATCAAGCTGTGAAAGCAGGATACTGTAGGCACCCTTGAGGTGGTGGCTGTAGAGAAACACATGTGCTTGTCAGTCGTCAACACTCGTGTGTACTCACAACGGACACACGTGTGCGAGATGGGATACGTTGACACAGATAACACGTGTGGAAGCTCGTTGCTGATAATGTGGAAGAAGCAGACAGCATTTCGGAGAGCTGACAGAAAATAATGCAGACAGCGAGCGCAACTCTTAGAGATGTGGCGTTCTCGTTACTGACAAATATATGTACCCTACCGCTTTGTAGAGCGAGGAAAAGAAGAAGAATGGGCACGTAATAAATCACCAACTGTGAGTATTCACGATATTCTTTGGCAAGAATTTGCTACCGCGTTCGTACGCGAGACCCCGTGCGCTTCTGCGCGAGACGACCATCCTTTGGATATTGTCACACACACTGGAAGAATACTTTTGTATCTTCCCCCCTGGATTTCACAACACTTGCAAGTTTATACGAAATCTAGTTTAATCGATCGTTATGGATCCCTCATCGCAACTGTCGCAACGCGACTTGGAATCGATCAAGAAACACATCAGCAAAGTGGATCGACCCCCCCCCGCTCATCGAAAACATTTGCGTGGAACTTGATGAAGCTATTGACCTGCCAGCCGAAGAAATTGTATCTTTCTTAAAAGATTGTCTTTCTCCAGATGTTCTACTAGTCGACCCGGCGATGGAAAAAGGCAGATTGTTCGAGCCATCCGAAAAGTATTTGACGTTTGTGGAGTGGAAGTTAGTTATGCTGCAGGTATACCGCTTCCGAACAAAGTAATAGAAGCACTGTACTCGGACATTCGTGATGTTTTAAATGAAGCGTAGAAAATGCTACAAGCTTACAAAACGTTTGGAACATTCAAACCTGATTTTGTCCCAGAACAGAGTAACCCAGAAATACTGACATACACCCCAGCAGAGACTGACCTTGCCCGTGATGAGGTAGGAAATACAACAAGACACGCGTATTGCAAGGAACGATGCAGCTGAACATCCACTGGAATATCAACCTCAACAAAAGGAAAATCTGCGAGCAACCGTTCCGCTTGAAAATTGTATCCCGACGAAGCAAAACCTGGCGAAAAATAGACAGGCTGTTGCAAATGGATTCCATCACAATAATGGAAAATTTTCGGGATCACCCGGGACTGGAATACCTTTGCACATCGTCAAGAGGAAATTCGAAGAACTAGTGTTTGAACAAGAAATTCCGGAAACGGATCGCGTCCAATTGATGCACAACTATTTGTCGGGTATAGCTCAGGAATATTTTTATTCTACAGTACGAGGCACTGCGGAAAATAGCGAAGCTGCATTCGATAGGATTTCGGAAAGGTTCAGCTCCAAACAACATCAGTCTCCGGCCTTAGCATACCTTCGTCGACTCTCCTTTTCTGGAATTAAGAGCGAAAAGTCATGTTCAGATATTGAGGCTCTAGCAGCTGCACATTCACGTATTTTAGAATACATCCCACAATGCAGACCATCATACCAAAACGAACATCAAGATGGACACACGGGTGAGTTCCTCGCAGGAAGTGTAGACGGACAGCCTTGGGCTGAGCACGTCCTTACCGCACGAATAACCGCGAATAGCAAAGAGAGGGGCATGGACTACAATTCGCTTTATGCTATGCTGGTCTCAGCCTTGATACTCGTAGACAATAGAGAAAAATCGGACACCTCACCAAAAGGAAATCTCGCTAACTCAGTGTTCTATGGTGAGACCTATGGAAAGCATATCCCAAGAAAAAGGAACACAACGAACAGATATAGCTCTATCAAGTTTAATCGAAAAAGAAGAACGCCCAGCGAACTTCAGGCTCTAAAACAAAGAACAAAATGTCTAGTCTGTAAAAAGGTTGGCCAGTGGAAAAATGAATGCCCGGACAAAAGGTCTAGGATGACAGACATTATCAGAGCTCGTATCAAAGAAAATGGAGGAACGGACAAAGCAGCTGCCCAAGTCCTTTTTCTTTAGCCGACCAAGAGGATTCGTATGCAGAATATGCTGCACAAGCCGAAAATGGGCATGGCCCGTGCAACGGAAGCGAAGAACACAGCGCTCTCAACACTTTCGAAAGCCTTTACAGCGCCGCGGAGTCCGGTTCCAGTCTAGACGATTCTCTTCAGAATATATTCGAAACTTTGCTCACTGGTCTAAGAAGCGATGAGGAGCCCCAAGAGATATGCAACGACACAGGGGATTTTTGACTGCCAGGGCACCTTTCGTGGACAGTTCGCTGGCTGACAAAGCTCCACTACCTACATACTCACGATCTCCAACGCTTGCTACCGGTTCTAAGATGCATAGGTGTAGAACGATTTGTGGGACACGGCGGAGCATCGGTCAAAGGAAATGGCAACACAGTTCGCCCGAGGAACGGATCCCGATCGATATACACTACGTGAGAGACGCCTTTCTCAAATCGAAAAGGTTTTCTGCAGGCCGACCCCCGGAATTTGCCGGTGCATGCATTGACATTGGATCACCTCGATCCTTGATCGGGCTCAGCCAAGCAAAAGCTTACTTCAGGGCAATGTGTATCAAGCTGAATCTGTCTCCATCTCGAACCTGTTTCAGATTTGGCACCTATCCTACACGCTCACTCGGCAAAATGGCAATCCTACTACCAACTCCGGGAAGCACTATACCATTGAAGGTAGACGTAGTTCGTGAAAACATTCCGATGCTTATTGGACTAGACGAATTATTGCAGCATTGCTTGGAACCTTCAGTACTGAAACGATCCCTCAATTGTACGAAACAAGATTGGTCACTCCATTTGCAATTGAAACATGGACATTTGTATCTCTGTTGGAACCCATGCTCGTTTTCAGTATTTTTCACTCGGAACCAATTGGAGAGGTTACATCGACACATGCTCCACCCTTCATCACGCAAACTTTACGACCTTTTGCGCAAAGCTGATCCCGAGAACCTGCAACCCGATACTCTGAAGACCCTCAAAGATGTATCAAAGGCATGCGAGACGTGCACTCTATATGCTCCCAAACAAATCACATTTCGCATCAGAGACGCAGATAAGATCAAATTCAATCATCGCATATTGATGGACATCATGTTTCTGAAAGACAGACGGCAAAAGTCTAGACCCGTGTTGCATGTTATAGACGCTGGAACTCGTTTTAGTGCCGCAGCATTTTTGAAGGACAGTAGCACAACCACAATTTGGAATACGTTTATCAAAATTTGGTCTTCAGTTTACGTTGGATTCCCGGAATCATTACTTACAGATCAAGGGTCTGTCTTTCTTTCTCGAGAATGGAAATACAATTGTGAATCCTCCCGAATTGAGCTACTTAACACAGGAACAGAAAGTCACAATTTCTTAGGGATTGGCGAAAAGTATCACTCCACACTCCGAACAATTTATAGAAAAGTACTTTGTGATCACCGCGCCTTGCCCGAAGATATAGCCCTTGCTAAATCGGTCCAAGCAATGAACGAGACCGTCGAACCTCATGGACTGGTGCCCACGCTATTGGTTTTTGGAGTAATACCGAAACTGCCCGATATATCCGAGCGTGATTTTCCTGTACAAAGGGAGCGACTGAGAGCGGCCTGCACGGCAAGAAAGGAATACGAGAAAGTGGTGGCCAAGAGAATTGTGCAGCGAGGCCTACGCACTATACCGCCACCGGCTGCGGATCACGTTTACGTACTAGGAGACTTCGCGT